GCGGCCGTGGTGCGCGGCATCCAGGGGCCTGGCGCCCACACTGGCGCCCGCACTGGCGCCCACGCTGGCGCCCGGCCGCAGCGCATACAGAGCGAAGCCCACGGTGAGCAGACTGCGCACGCTCTGGCCGGGCTCGTACTGCTGCGTCACTGCCACGACCACGTGGCACTTGCTGGCATCATCGCCCTCCGACTGCGAGATCTGCATCAGGAACTGAGGGTTGGCGCCCGTGGTCTCTGTGGCAGTGAGATAATGTGTCCACGAGTGGCAACAGACGGTGAGGCCGCGGGTGGGAGGGCTCGTACCGGAGCTGGGCGGGCCGCCCGCGTTGAACCCGGCGCGCCAGCGACGCCGCGCCAGCACGGCCCGCCAGGGCCTTCGCGCCTGCAGCGCGGGCTCCAGCAGCCAGTCGTCGGGGCCCACGTGCACCAGCTCCAACTGACTGAACGTGTCCACGAAATCATCAAATGATATCCTGCAAACGGAACCAAGTGTAACTGGATCTATAAACCGTACTAACAATCCGGCTATGCCGTAATAAGTCCTCCAGGTACTCCTAAATCCTAGCGATTTATTACTCATTAATATCTTACACTTCTCATCTTATATTTTGTCTAATCCGTACTAATATCTTTACTTATATTATAAATCTGAAAGTGGGTATGTATGTTTATTTGTTTGTTTGTTCCGCTTTTGCACCGTAACTACTGAACCGATTGCTTTGAAATTTTGCAGACGTAAAGTTTGAAGGCCGGATTAAATAATAGGGTACTTTTTATCCTGGAAATATTTGATAATTCCGAGGGAAAACAAAAATGTTGGTATGGTGCTGTGTGTATTTGTATAGATCGCGCTGTATGTCATTTAAAACAAGTCAACAAATTAAATGGTATCTATGTAGTAGTTACGCTACTTAGCGATAGATGGGGGTGGGTGTATTTAAAAACTTTATAAGGTCGTTCTTTAAGTATTCTTCGCTTTTAAATTTTGATTCCTACAATTTTACATTAATTTTTGTATATAGGTTGTTTTGTTGTGATTTTATGTTGTTATAGGTACACGAAATCATAGCGTCAACAATAGGCAGGTACTTAACAATCCAAGCTGTATGTCATTTACAACAAATCAACGAATTACCTACTAATTGGAGATCTCACGCTATACATTATATATATTTGAAATTGGTTTTAGCCCGATATCTTCCGACAAGAGAAAAAAGGATTTAGTTTGCACTAACCCTCAGACAAAACATGCTTTTACTAACAGATTTTATTTGTTTTTAGGACCATATTTATATAACAAACTCAACAGGTTGTTAAAAGTTTATAGTGTAAGTTTATATAAGTGTAATCTAATACTTACAGAATATTTACAGTCCCTCAATTACTCAAAAACGAAAAAATTATTAAAAGTGTTAAAATAAACTGCTTATTTTTAGTGATAAACCTACATATTAACTAGTACCTATAGTGTTGTTTGTTCGATAATTTAGGACAGGTTGTCCTTGCTTGGTCTTTAAATAATTATGTAATACGATTTTTATTTATAATTATATCCATCAAATCATTTTTTTGGCATTGATAGCCTGAAACACAGGTTTAAATAAACCTAGTTCGGGTAATCCCTATATATACTTAGAACGTTATTTCCTCGCATGTATATTGTATAAGACTAGATTAAGTAAACTATTACGAGTGTTATTATTAAGACTTTTTATTACTATAAAATCTGAGCGAACTGTAATTCTAAATGTGTTCTATGTTGTTTTTAATAAATTTTATTTACTTATTTATTATTTATTTATTTATATACAAATCTATAGCGCTACCTACACTAATTCAGTGCACTAATCGAATCATTTATTTGCTGTTTTTTAAGTCAATAGTGCTGATGCCGATTCGGAGTCGTAGAGAACCTAACGGGTTACCGGGGCTCCGGCTCGACGTGCAGGAGAAAGAACGGGGTGGTTTTTAGTCAGTAAGAGTCTGACGCTCCCTCCCGCCTCACCCAGGCGGGAGCAGTCATTCGATGATTTTCCCCCTTTAAAAAAACTGTATATTAGTTAGGTTAGATTAGTTAAATGCTTTATTTCAAGTGAAGTCTTTTAAATTGAAATGGGAGGATGGTATTTGTGGTAATGCGAAAATAACTCCTCCTGCCTGTTGTTCTTTCACGCCTAAACGGCTAACCGGATTTTGAAGAAATTCGATATGAAGGTAGTTTGAGTCCTGGAAAAGCAAGGATTTACCGCGGCAGAACTTCTCATTCCCATGGAAAAATTTAAAAAGCGCAATATAACCGAATTGCACGCGAGCGGAAAGCTATTTGTTTGTTTGCTGTACTAAACTAAACCTTCTCAGTGTGAGAAGAGGCTTTGCTCAGCAGTGGGCATTTATAGGCTGTTGATGATGATGATGATGATGACTAAACGGCAAAACGGAGGTACTAATTAATTAACGTTATTTTTTAACTGAAGGTAGTTAAAGGGATGGATATTCACATAGGCTACTTTTATACTTTTGTGACGCGAGCGAAGCTGCGGGTAAAAGCTAGTACTTATATATTTTTTGATATTTGCTAATTTCAGGAAGTACAGGTTCGATTTGTAACTTCTTTTTATTTTATAATGACTATCGTTAGACATAGCAAATTAAAATTGTTCTCTAAGTCGGTGACTCAAGGTTTAGTCCCCAAAACATGTAAAGCTGCCCTTATTATGCGAGTTTATAAGAAGGGGTCAAGAACCGATATCACTAATTATAGGCCTATCTCCAAATTGTGCGTTATAGCTTAAATATTTGAGAGGATTATCTACAAACAGTTATACTCCGCCGCCCTGGCCAATCCGTTTAACTCCTTCAGACACGGATATTTGAGATGGTGGTTTACTGTTTCCAACCTAATTCTTTTTAAGACTCTGTCACAGATGCTATGGATTAAGGCTAGCACGTGATTTACATAGATTACAGCAAGGCATTTGACCGAATAGACCACGATACTCTGTTACAGAAGCTTATTGCAGAGGCATCAGCAGCTACCTCTTGAGGTGGTTCGCTTCATACATCGACAATAGGTCACAAGCAGTGATACTCAATAACTACATTTCTAGCTGGGTAAATGTGCCCAGCGGAGTGCCTCAGGGATCGTTACTCGGTCCTTTTTTATTCGTAATCTATGTAAACGACATCAAGTGCTTTCATACATCCAAACTTTTATATTTTGCTGACGACATGAAACTGTCAGCTACTATCTCAACACCTGGCGATAATCTGACACTCCAGGTAGATTTGCATCGGCTTGAAAAGTATTGTTGGATTAATAAACTAGATCTTTACCCATCTAAGTGTTCCGTAGTCACTTACACTAGTGCAATGTAGAGCAATGAGGGAGACGTGTTGTTCTTAGAAATAACTTTAATTGAGTGTCTTAAGAACTAACATACACTACTTACTTATAGGGCGAGGTGTCACACACACTACACTAGAAAGCGCACTGTCCATACCACTATTTATACTCTAGCCGGTCAGGGTCAGCCCTTACCGTAACTGAGGCGCTACTATCCGTAACTGAAGCGTCCATCAAGACAGTAAATTGGTTTTCGATACATATATCGATGCAAAGCCTCTAAATTGCTTGGATTTATAATGCGTCTTTCAAATAATTTCACTGATGCAAAGACCCTCAAAATATTATATTGCACTTATATCAGGAGCCAGCTAGAGTATGCGTCTCAAGTATGGAATCCAAGATATCAGAAATGTATTGACCGCGTGGAAAACATTCAAAAACGTTTTATAAAATACCTCTGTTTTCACCAAAATATATCATATCAGCCTGCCCGTTATCTTGAACTCTGTAGAAAATTCCATCTGTTACCACTGGTAGATGGAATCAACATTGCAGATTGTTTATTCTTGTTTAAGGTTTTCAACAGCAATGTGGATAGTCCAGAACTATTATCAAAAATCAATTTCAGTGTATGTATATCTAATAAAATATTTCGATTTAATCCACCTTTACAAGGATCCCGCTCCTCATCTAACTACAGGCAGAACACTGACATTGTACGCGCAAGCAGACACTAACAATGTTTGTAAGGAATATGACCTCGATCCTGTTACAACTAGTGTGAACTCGGCAGAGACAAAATACTGCACGGTTGGCGTGGTGGTTGGGCAACTGGCTGCCGCGCAACGTGTCGCGGGTTCGATTCTCGCAAGGAACAACTATTTGTGTGATCTACAGAGTGTTGTTCCGGGTCTGGGTGTGAACTTGTATGTTTGTAAACGCACCCACGACACAGGAGAAAATATTAGTGTAGAGCAACGTTTAAAAAAAAAATCCTAAACGTGAGGACTTGTAATTGGCTCATTGATACCTACGCTTATTGTTATTGTTATAAGCAAGAGGCCTCCAAGAATTATTATTAAATAAATTAACTAAAAATCGCGGGTTACTCACGTGGATACACTGAGAGAAGCTCTACTAGTTTCGAACCACAGAGGGATTCTTCCTCATGAGCAGCGTGCGCGGTCGCGCAGCCTACTGACTGATTCTGTTAGTTTTATTGTCTTGGATAGTCCATTTATCGAGGATGGCTATTGGTTATAAAACATCACGCTGAGATCAACAGGAGCCGAGCAGAGCTTAAGAAACCGAGCGGAAGTAGTTAGGTAGGTTATATGTATGTATGGTATGTTTGTGTATATTTATTACTCAATCAAGTAAAGACGGCTGAAGAGATCGCCTTATAGGTAAGTACTGGAAGTTTAATAATAAGACACTTATTTAAACTATCAAACACCAAGCGGTCACCGGTGACCGCAACCTATTGTTCTATAATTGTGTCTATAATGACGGTACTCGACGAGTTAAATTTATACTTAACAGTAACAAGTCTGTGAAGTCTGCTTTATTTTCCACATCCAACGAGGTCAAACATTCTGCCGGTAGTGATTATTCCACGCTAATGAAGTCACGACTAACGACTATAGTAACTCGTGTACTTAACATGATAAAATATTATGAGATTTCGTGTCAGAGTACTTACCAGAAGTCGTCAGGTGAGTCGGAGCTGGACATCAGAATGTCGCGATCATGCGGCGCCAGCGCCGCCCATTCAGCGCTGCCGGGGGCCCAGGCCCCGCACCACGGGGCGCCGGCGGGGGCCCGCAGCCGCAACAGCAACGTGGCCTCCCGCACGCGCACCAG